GTGATGGCCGTAAAGCATCAAAGATTCACCGAGCTAAAAGTTGCTGGGGCACAACTGCCGATTCGGATAAACAGGAAAACTAGTCAAGTTTGGATCAACAGTAGGTCCGCAATATCTATCTTCACCATCAGGGAATCACGATGAACTCTTGGAGATTCGGGACTAAAACTAGATGCGCTGTCGAACGAGGATAATGCATTTCGGGATAATGGAAATAACCCGTTAAAACTGATTGTAACAATAGCTGTCACTTTGGAATCAAATCGATGGAGAATAAACGCGAGGATAAGGGTCATCGGAGAAAACCGCCCATCTATAATAGAAAGAGACTTGATGCCTCAGTTGGGACTACAGTTGGTGCAACAAACGACAGGGGACCAGATCATGTCAATTGACGAGGAGCCAACGGAGGAATCGCGGCAAGATGAGGAATTGGACTCATGGCAAACTTACTTCAGTAAGCAGTTTTCAATTAGGGAAGATAAGAAATTATAAAGTGCAAGCAGAAATTTTTGAGAATCTAACACCAGAAGGGTCGACAGGTCCCAATTACATTGCATGAAAAATGGATCCGGAAATTGACAAACTACTGAAACAAAGTCATATTGAGAAACTGGAAGAATGTTCGGATAAATACTTTGTGTCGCCAATCGTAATAACAGTGAAAAAAGACGGTTCGGTAAAACTAGCGCTCGAGTCGAGGGAGCTAAATAAACAAGTGCATAAAACTAAATACAAAATGCCAAATATCGAAGAATTAATGGACACCGTGGGGAAAAGCGAGAAGAAACCGGGGGATATATTTTGTACAACAATGGATCTAACGTACGCATATGATCAGTTACCCTTAAATGCGGAGACAAGTGTACAATGTTATTTTTCTCTTATCGGAGGTCGGTCAACGGGTACGTACAGGTTCAAGACCGGATTCTATAGTCTTACCAGGATGCCGGCCGAATTCCAGCGCGCAATGGATTGTATCCTGTCCGAATTTCCGCAAGCGCATGTTTTCATTGACGACGTTTTGGTAGTAACCAGGGGAACCGAGGTCGATCACATAGCAACGCTTGAGAAAATCCTGAAAAAAACTGGACAAGGAGAGTATGTCGTTAAAACTAACAAAATGCAAATTCGCAGAACGTGAATGTGACTGGCTAGGCCACAAAAAAACACCAACAGAAATTACACCATCAGTGCGGAAAACGGAACCAATAGAAGCGCTGAAATCGCTGCGGACCCTAACGCAATTGAAGTCGTTTATGGGGTCAATACACAGTCTCCACAAGTATTTGCCAGCGTTGGCCGAATCTTCTGCGCCATTACGGCCGCTATTAAGTAAAAGGAATGATTACATTTGGACGCCGGAATGTCAATGCGCATTTGAAATTTTAAAGAAACAAGTTTCCAATATTGTGGAATTGCGGCGTTTCGACATTCACAAAGATATACGATTTGTGTGCGACGCGAGTCATAACGGTTTAGGCGCGGTACCCAAACAATTCGGACCGAAGGGGTGGAGACCGATTTCATTTGCCTCAAGATATCTGAACGACGCTGATAAAAATATTCGACGAATGAATTAAAAAGGTTGGCAGTAGTGTGAGGGCTGAGTATTTCTTAAATTACATACTGGGAAGGAAATTTGTGGTAGTAACAGACCATAAAGCGTTAATTTCCATCTTAAATGGCAATAATAAGAAAAACAAGACCATGGTAACGCGTTGGTTGGACCGACTCATTCCATTCGATTTTAACGTGGAACATAAACCAGGAGCAAAAGTAGGACTGGCGGACTACTTATCACATCATCCAAGTAAAGAAGCTACACCAATTAGTACGTACGATAACATATTCAGAGTTGCAAAGAGAATTTCAATACGTACTAATCTCGGGTTTGTTCAAAGTAACGCATCCAGGGGACACGAAGTATACAATCATACATCCCAGGAACGAAAGATCAAAGCACATAACCAACAATCATTAAATAGATTGGAAATTTGTCACGCTTTCAGCCAGTAGAGGGCGTGAAAGCATGCGAACGATAATTAACCAATTAAAATGAAACACATGGCTCAAACTAACGGCTACGCAATATACGCGAGAATTTAGTCGGTGCTATTATTCAATTGGAAGAAAATCGTTTAAATCTATATTCACATTCAAACATTCACCTCAAAATGAACCGAAGTATGAAAAAATGGGAAAAATTTTAAAAATAACATCCAAGTTTAGGCAATAGCAGTGACGAAAAAGAAGAATTACCATCGAGTTTACATTTAGAAGCCATTACAAAAAAACTAGATCAATTAAAACAAACACTACTTTATCGTTACCATCAGCATTTAAAGGCGAAACAATCCCACCGGTGGATCCGAATACAGTGTGTATGTCAATTGTACCCCGCGGTTACAAGATAGTTAGCAAGATCACTTCACTTCCTGAGTTATTTAATTTACAATTCACAGAGTCAAATTATGTTTCCGATCCTCAACTTAGTGCAATTAGAGAATTAATCATAACAAGGGACCCCAAAAATCACGAAAAAGTGTCAGCCATGAACCGCTATTACTCTCAATTCAAGATTAATTTCTACGTGAAGAAAAATGTTGTGTGGATGAACGAAAAGCTGGTTATACCGATGAACCTCCAAACCGCGATCAATAACAGGATTCACGCATTTCATCACGGAAAATCAAACATGTTTGACGCCGCCAAAGACGTCTGGTAACCCTAGATTTACCGTTCAATCGCCTGAAGTGCGGAAAATTGTCCAGAATGTACTGCCGCCGGTAAGAACTTGAAACCCCTCTTAAATAAAAACCAACTTGGAAGCGTTTCTGAACCAAAAGAACCAAACGAATTGGTCTAGTTTGATTTCTGGGGCCCTATTATCTATTTAAACGAGTCTCAAAAGTTTGTGTTAGGGGCATTTGATCGTATTTCACGGTGACCATCAGCGATGGTCTGTGGAAACAACCGGTCAGATAAGATCATGAAATTTTGAAAAACATATATAGTGAACCATGGCGTACCCCGGAAGATCCACGTGCAGCAAGGAACAAGTTTTATGTCGAATGAAGTCAGGGCTTTCAGCAATGTGGAAGGGATCGAAATAATAAAATCACCGCCATTCGAGCGGTAATAAAAATTCGCCATTCGAGGCACATCACGGTCGAGAGGCAAATACGGTGCTAAGAAATCTTTCAAAAAAATCTCTCTTCAAAACCTGGATTGGTATCGAGTACTAAAAACAAAGAATGCTTGTTTAGATGAAGTTGACCCGACTGTGGGGGTCATGCCGCATCCTACTCAGACGAACTGGGAGGTAAGGTCTGATTTGGCATTCGATATAAAGCACCGGAGCCATGCGCATCGCTTAACGGATGAGCAGGCCGGAAACCAGGATGATGAACCATCCATCATTAAAGCGGCGGGACACTCAAAGCAAGCAGGAACTCTGAAACTTTGTACCAGCGGACCGGAAGCCAAAACTTGAAAAGGTATAGAAAAATCTATTCTAAAATAAAATCCCGGAGTGCGCATACGTTAAGAGTAAAAAACGGGGTTGTGCTTAGGAAATCGGGTGTGGCAATAAAGAAAAAGCCAAAGACTTTTGTATCATACCAAGCGCCACCGACCCTGAAAGAAAGGAAGGAGCGAGCCAAGGGGAAAACCAACGCCGGGAAACAGCAGCAACGGAGACAAATCGGACGACAATTTGAAAACAGCGGGTCGGATTCGGGGAAAAGCGACTACTTACCAATCATATCGGTAAAGAAACCCACAACAGTGGTCACTCAAGCGGGACCGTCACAGCCACAGAAAACTTCGACAGAACCAGCGGCAACAGGCGAACAGGCACAACTAGAATCGAGATCTAAACCGAGCGACAAAACTAATATCACAGTACCAGACACGGGAAGCGATGAGGACACGATCCCCGCACTAGGCGGCGAAACAGATATACCAACTCCACGGGAACAGAAAATGCCGGCACCCACGGATAAGAAGAAAAGAGCACCACGGAAAGCAAGACTAGTTTCCTACAGCAGCAAAGAGGATAGTCAGGAGGACACGGAGTCGAGGAAAAGCGGACGAAAAAGAACAACAGTGACTAAAATGGGCGGCGTAATGATCGATTGCATTACAACGAAACATGATCGAGCGGAGGGAAAATAATCGAAAAAAAACTTACCCTGAGCCCAGGGAGAGGGTTGACCAGCATTGGCCCAAAACTCAATTTGTTTTATCGCCGCTTGGTGATCTATTAGTTGTTAAAACCAATGTTATATTACACTAGTTCATTAATCTTTAAAAAAATCATCAGTCAGTAATTTCGTCATTTTTCATTAACTTTACAATCAACAGCATACAGTATTTTTCAGTCATTTATAGTTTTCATTATTGAAGGGGGAGTGTCGTACAGTGCTAATTCAGTTCATGAGATTCTAAGTTCTATCCGTCAATCAGTTGTCAAATATGGTGCTAATTAATCTATTGGCAGGTGCTGAACTTGGTATTGTCTGTCACTCTTGGTTGACCTCTATCGTCACTCTTAGAAATAACTTTGTGAGATTAAATTACTACTCATCGGAATTTACTTATTGATTGAGTCACGCTTGGAAAATTGTTTTACGTTGACATAATTCAATGAAACTTGGCATTTTGAACTAGCTAACTGTTATCTGTTATCAACAGATGTTTTGCCATACTTGGCATCGTAAGATCATATGTATACCAATATAACACGCAAAATAACTATTAAGTTAGAAAATTTCAAATGATGTGCGAAATGTGAACAAGAGCGCACATTATTTGACTTGTAAGGACAATCAAAGCGACGTATCTATCTTATTTCAAAAGGGCTAATTTTCGCGAATTCGGTTCTTTGCCTTGAAGGATTCAAATACACCACCACCCCCCCCCCCCCTCCCTCACCCCCGCCGTATCAAATGGGGAACAGATTCGAGGTTAGATTCTTTGTTTTTTGTTCGCGCTAGGCGTGCGCTGTGACCACATCTACTAACTATGACCAATTAGTGGACCTCATCTTATGCACTATGGGCTATTCTGACTTCACTGGGGGAGCATACTATGCATGGAACTTCTGTTCCACCTTTTCAGGGGCAGATTATGACGCCATAATGGAGTGTTTGGCGGGAAAGGATGGAGAGACTGCGTTTATCCAGATGCAGAATAAAACACTTGCAAATAGTGATTACGAAGGAACGCCTTGGGTCAATTTCAATGGGGTAAGAAGTTTTTCTAAGAGTCGATAAATGTAGTTCAGGTCGTGATGGTTTTTTTGTATTTTTTTTCAGGAAAAATTTTGAAATGCTCTAACATTTTACAGAAGTGCATTCATACATATTAATGTTTCTATGAATGCTTCGTGAAAAAACGTGATCGATTACTAGTTTCGAAAGTGGAATTTAATTTATATATTTCCCAGCTGAATGAAAATTTTCCTACTAATTAGTTTGCTCAAATTGGGTTAATTTAAAAGCATTTGTAAGGCCATTCATTTTTTTGTTTGAAGTTCAAACGTTCAATTTTTTTTTCCGTTTCTTTGCGTTCATTGACTTTTTTCCAACTGTCTGCTGGCTATATTTGGTATTTAAAAAATTCCTTCAAAATATTTATAAAAACACATAATGATTATCTATCTTAATGCACTTAACACTTTTTGTTCCAATCACTTCATGATGATAGATTAGATTCTTTTGATGATCTCGACTGAATTAATATAACGGAGTCAATTTCAGTCTTGTAAGAGCTTTCTTGGAAAATCGAAAGTACTTTCTAAATGTCGTCAAAACAGTGTTGTTTTTTTTTTCATTTTCTTGAAATCAATTTTTAAAATTGCTTGCTTGCGCAAATTTTTTTGCTTTAATCAACGTCTGTATTTTAAACATTGAAGTATCTAATAAAATGCTTTAAAAATATTGCGGCTGTCTTTTCTAAAATATGATTCCTCCCCTGTTTTCTCGCAAAAGTTGGAGAAAAAAAATTGGTATCATTAGAGTCAGCCAGTGTTTGAAGTTCTGATTGATATCCCAATCACTTGTCGTCGCTTCGCTTAGTTTTGTTGCCAAATGTATCCACAAACTATTTTATTAATTAGAAAAATTGGTAGGAAGAAAATTTAATTACCATTATTATTTGCAGGACAGTTCGAGTGGTGTTCAGTCTTCAATAACAAAAGACAAAGCCACCTTTATCAAGACTGTCTGCCACTCTGTCGATCAGGTAAATCATTATTCAAATTACTTGGATTGATTTTATCGACCTAACTTCATAACAGGGGCAGATCTAGGATTATCTTGAGGGAAATGGGGGCGGGCTTTCTAAAGATTTGTCAACTTTTTTTAGGTCGACCGAATCGATTTTCGAGTTCTCCCAAATTACTGAAAAGAACTTATTTTGGCCAATTTTTTTCCGCCGCAGGTAAAATTTTGAAAAAGCAGGCCAGTTTTATGCACTTTTTGAACAGTTTTTAGGAATTTTTTTAGGTCAGTTTCGACCAAAAAATTGTTTTTTTTTGGGCGCGCGCTTCCCCTTCAAAAATAGTATATAGGCCCCCTTTGAAAAATTTAAGGGTCAGCCAGCCAAAAATGGAGGTCTAAAAGTAGTACCAAGGGGGGACCCTTTGGGTAGTCAGGGGGTCACCCCTAAATTCGCTACTGATTAGTATTTAGTACTACAATTAGGGATTTTTTTTCAAAATAAATCAGCAATCTAGCCCCAGCATATCTGAAACAGGTAAGCAGTAGCTTTAAAATGTAAGAAAGTTGTTAATAGAGGGGAGTCTTTAAGCACTTCAAGAGATCCCGTGCTCTTATATAGTTGAAAAAGTAGATTTAGTTATACTGTCCTTAGCAGAAGTACTGTCAAATTAAGTAACTGGTACTCAAAACCTTTTCACATAGCAAATAAATATCCTATTTTTACAAGAGAACCTCTCGCCAGAATCTGACCGCACTTCCTAAAAGCAAAAATTGTATCTCAAAATATAGTACAGTCAATTTTATTTGCTAGAGCTACTGGCCCACAGTTTGCACTCAATGAAGGAGCACACAGAAGCTGATGATACAAAATGAACCGTATACAAATCTCGCGCAGGAAATCTCCAATATACTCTATTTGGTCGATGAAAACAAAAATTCTAATCATAATTTTTCATTTAAAAAAAATTTTATATCCTACATCTTCGTACAAATTCATATGAACAGAAATTTGTTTGAAACCACTATGATGCCCATTTTTCATGTATGAAAATTGTTAGATAAGTAGTTTGCTATACATGAATTTTGCATGACTCAATTTTTCATAAAGAAAAGTTTGCAAATGTTCTGCGTTCAGCTATAAAATAATGTGTTTCGTCCTAAAACTCAAAAACCAGATTTTTTTATACAAGAAAATCCAAAGATAAAGCAACAATCACAAAGTTCAGCTGCATTTGATTTGGTGATTTGCCATTTAAAATAATTTATCCTTTTTGCCCAGAATTACGTACAGAACTCTTGGTGTTCTGTTTTTCTATAAATCTAGTTAATCTTAGCATATTAAAGCAAAAAAAAAATAATGGTGGCGATACAAAAACACTTTCTTCCAGAGCACAGTAGCCTGTTTGCGACCAAAAAAGAAAGAAACAAGTTTTTACCTCAATTTAAGATTTTTAATGAAAAGTGCGTATCATACGATGTTTATGCAACAAACTTTTTTTCATCCAAAAATTTTGAAAATTTCCAATGATCAGACAGCTTCAAAACCGCTGAACAGAAAAAAAATGTTTTAAACATTTTTAGAAATTTTTTGACGAATGGTTTGAAAAATGCTTGACAAGCTTTTTTTATATTGTCAGTGTAAAAAAACTGTTGTATAAGGAGTTTTTGTGAGGAGTGGAACCAGGTCGCATACACTTTTTTTTCGCCTCGGTATAATATATTGACAAAATGGTTCATATATTTTGTTCCAACTATTGAACCCTTTTAACTAACTTTTTCGAAAGGATATCAGCTGTTTCAGCAATTTTTCAGCAATGTTTCAATGATTAAAAAACTCTGAGTTATTTTGCAGCCTAAATCAAAAACTTAACTGTCTGAGTGATAAAAATTTTACCCATTGCTTATTGTAATTTTTGCGACGTTTTGCTGAGACAAAGACGACGTATTGCTGAAAACAATTGAAAAACCAATACTGCTCTTTGACTCCTACAATCAAAACTTTCACAATGAGCTTCTGATTGAACGCCCAATTACGGAAAATTAACAAATATCGAAATCAACCAAAACTACTTTGGTCAATGAGTAAGTGCGCATCAGGCAACGTAAAGTCTATAATTGATGCACTTAACCGACTGCCTTTTAATTGGTCTCGGATTGTGTTTAGCAAATTAAATATTGGCAAAGCTATGATTTTTAGACTGATAATATCAAAAATTAAGTATTTCAATTTGAGTCGCGCATGGAGTCAATAAAACCAAATAGCTGCCTCAATTCGTTTTGGAACAATTTTGTAGAGCGGGCTGATAAAATAAGCAGATTACTTTAATGGTGTGCACACTCGGCTGGCCATTTGCAGATTAAGAGAGCGATACCCCGAAAGACCAGAGTTCTGTAAAAGTGGTCTGAAGAAAAAAGCTACCTCGAGCTTATAGATTTTTCACTTTCTTCGAAAGTCGGAACAATCAAAGAAAAGCACATGTTTAGGCTCTTTTAAAGTGTTACAAAACATTACATATCTGAGTAACAAAGTAGTAATGGTTGAAATCTCAAAAAATGGCAAAATGCTGCATCAGTTTTGACTAATCATTGGGCTTATTTTTAAGCCAGTGATTCAGGCGTGAAATTTTGCCAGTCTTTTTTGAAAAAAGCAGAAAAATATTCATTGCATATAAAAAAAAACAAAGCCGAACCCTGAAAATCAATTTGAACCAACCAAACTGATATCAGCATTAGGCAACATTGTGAGAATATTATATTTAAACTTTTGTCAAAATTTGCTCGTAAAAACAACCGTTTTGACAAGAAACAGTTTGTATTTCGTAAGAATGACTGAAGAAGAATAACAGTTTGAATGTTCACGTCTTTCAGTTGGGAAAATTTTTTGAATCAGCGGACTGCAGTATATTATCAAAACAAATTGGAAATGTGAGTATTCCACAAAAACTCAGCCAAACTTCTTGTACGACTTTTTGAATCATTTGTTAGCAATTAAGTTTTAGTCTACCAATTAAATAATCATATATTTCTGCAGTATCGTTTCTTGCCCAAAGCAGCAACTTGTGCTCTCAGGAAAAAAATCCAAAACTTTTCTAATCTATTAAGGGCTTACCTTAAAACTTGGCTGTCCTGTTTTTTTCCTGCTTTATTTAAATGTTCTTTTAATGATTTGATATCATCCACAAAAATGTTTTCTTTTGTTTGTAGACGATACAATAGAAATAGATAATTTTTAAATTTAGTGAGATAAAATAAAATAGCTAACAAGGATAGCCGGTTCTGTGCAAGTAGCACAGAATGTTCCGACCATGATCGTTATAAAAAGTACAGTATAAAGCTTTTTTTTTTAAATCAGTTTTTCTGCGTGGGGTGATATAAAAAGTCTGATATGAAACTGTATTTCAGACAAATTGATATTCTGAGTAAATAAGCAAACAAGCCACAATTTTTTTCAGAAAATTGACAAAAAACAAAAATAAAAAATTCAAAGGATTTCAATTTTTTTTCGTTTAATGCAATTTTTTTTGGTTCTCGCATTGGAGCTACAGAACTCCAAAATTAATATAATTTTCTCAAAGTTAAATTTTTACGGCTTAAATTTCAATTTTTTTAAATTAATTTGTTGTAAGCCTGCTCGCTTGCTTTATTTGCTCGAATTAAGACAAAAAATCAAAAATTTCAAACCGGTTATTCTCATCACTGGCAAAACTTCTTCAAAATTACTCGTTCAAATCACGACTGAAAGGGCTTTAATCTGATATACCATTCAACTGAGTCTGATAATTATTCATGGTAGCTGGTTTTGCGTGGAAAACCAAAAGGAAAAAAACTAAAACACACCCGAGTACAAAGTTCGTCCCCATTTTCACTGGTCGGAACAATAAATGAACCGAAAAGTCGTGCATGCAAGTTTGGCTAAATTTATGTCTGATAACATAAATGTGCTCTCAAAAGCGCATCTGTTTTATGATTATCTTGGTATACAAATTGACCAAAAAAACAGAAACTTGAAAATCAAATTGATACAGTGCTAACTAATTTAGCAAAAATTAAGTAATGTTACTTGAAGCTACTAATGTGTGTTCGAAATCATCCCTGATCAAATTTTACAGGTGCGAAACCTTTGTTTTATATGAACTTATCTTTTATGGCTCGAATTCTTAGACTTTTCTGAATCGAGTTTTTAACTAACAACTTACACCTCATCATTTTCTGAGCTTCAGCTAATTCTTTCTTTTTAGAAAAAAACGCTAATTTACTCCTGACGCTTTTCCTGATAAAATGCACTCTAAGTTTTTTTAGCTACTAAAAAAAACGGGTTTTTGAATCACTTCTTTGCTTGCCCTTGTTTGTACCGAAACTGCATTTTTAAATTTTTTTAGAAACTTTTTTAGTCTTCATTCTTAAACAAGAATCTTTTTAGTCTCACTCATATGCATTTTTTAAATTTTTTTAGAAACTTTTTTAGTCTTCATTCTTAAACAAGAATCTTTTTAGTCTTCACTCAAATGCAATTTTTAAATTTTTCTAGAAACTTTTTTGGTCTTCATTCTTAATTAAGAATCTTTTTAGTCTTCACTCATATTAAATTATTAGAGTTCATCAATTAAACATTAATAAACAAGAGTAAATGGTTGTTCTGCTCGTAACACAAAAAGTTCCGACCTAAAATAACAAATCTTTTACTTGTTTTGTAATTGTTTGGTGTGTGATGAGAAAACACTAAAATGAATTTAAAAAAACATTCATAACAAAATAATTTTTTTTCTTCAAAAAAGCAGTTTTTCCAAATGGAAATTTATATTGCAAGGATGTGCTAATTAAAACTTCGAATTTTTTATGGAAGAGAATCAAGTTTTTTACTACTTACAAGGTTTTTTACTTGCTCAAAATTACATAAAAGGCAAAAGCTTCGAAACATTCACCTTATACACTGAGAATTTGCCAAAAAACTTTTGAACTTTCATTCAAATAACGACTGAAAAAACTGAAAAAACTACTATTTTATACCAAAATTAATTCATCTCAATCTAACAATTATTTGTGGTTTCTGATTTTGCGTGGGGAAACAAACTGAAACACACTTTAAGGTGCTAGGGATCTTAGCAGACCGGTTTTTTAGAAGACCGGTTTTTTAGCACTCTTTAAAATCGACCAATCAAAAAGCCTCATTATTTATTCAGATAAAAAAAGCTCAAAAAGGCAGGTTTTTGAGTTTTATGTATTATGAGTTTTATCAAGGCATATAAGACAAAAATAAACGGAAGTAACAAGTTGAACATAAAATGACCCAAATATGGTGTAAATTTGGTGAAATGGAGGTGGAGCCGTCTTAAAAGTTCCATCAGCAAGACAGTTTTTTGGTAAAGCCAAAAATTTTAGATCAAAGTTGGTCGCAAAAATCAAATTTTTGCTTTCTTGATATAATAAGAATAGTCTTTTACTCAATGTCATAGACGATGGTGGATCAATTCTGATATCCGCGAAAAGTTTAGGAGATTTTGGCAAAATTTTTATTCTGGGTCATAACTTGACAGACTTTTTGTAAATTGAGGGCGAAAAATTTTCTTTTTCGTCCTCGTTCAGCAATTCGTTAGAAAAATCTTGCAATTCGTTTTGATACAGGTTTTTCAGGTTCGTGGTAGGATCGGTTTCAAGCTTTTTCTTAATTTTTTTGCAAAATTTTTGATCAGCTAATTCATCTTGGGGCGGTAAATGATTATGGCTAGAAGGCAAAATTATAATAATGTTTTTCTGTAAATCAAACGAAAGTGTAGATCCAACTCAATAAATTTGTAATATTGACCAAATCCTTTTTTCCGATTTTTTTTGAACAGAAAATCATTGCTTAATAGGTTTTCTCCCAAATTTTTGCCTTGAATTGTTGAGAAGCTCATTTAGAATTAACTGAGATTAAGTTTGGAAGTTGCTAAATTGAATTCAAGTTTTGTTTACAAAGCGTGAAATAATGATGCTCAACCCAGACTTACTGGCGCCCCAGCCCCCAGCTAATTGCCTGTCAATCAAAGTCTGCTAAAAGACTCAGTTTTCATTTTTTATGCTAAAAGATTGGTCTGCTGAACGATCGGTCCCC